TGGAATAAAACAACTCTTAGTTCAGGTTCCTAATGCTACTGTTCTGTTAGCTTTCTAAAAAAGATAGGCGAATTATTGAGCAAATGGAAAGTCAGTACAATAGATGAAGAAATATTAATGACTTCTTTTAGAGAATGTTCAGACGCCCTCTAGAGATCAAATTGTTATTAAGTATTTTAGTCATGTGGTAGTATCTATTTGGGGGAAACTTGTTGGCCCATACAAAAGCGGTTATCAGAATACAAAACCATCATCAAAGGTTTATGGATCCAGAGATCTGAGGTGGATGAACGTCTTGCCGGATACGGGGGCTTCACGGCTAAACAGAAGATCAAGGAGTCGATTAAAATAAACAAAACAAAAAATCCTAAATGAGAGAAACAGGAGCTGGAAACTAAGCTAGGACTTTCTCTGGCTGCTGGATAGAATAAGAGAGAGTGACAGAAAGAGTTAACAGGAAGAGCCACTGACTAGAAAGAGAGGAATTGCCTAACCTGTTATCTGGTTTATGGCTCGAAATTTTCAACTGATTAGTGAATACACAGAAATACACATAAGGCACACACGTTCACAAAGCTAAAACAAGCCTCAAGATTTCAGGACCATACGCTAGTTTATTTAGAAAAGCTATGATTCCATCTGTTCCCATTCTTGTATTCAATTTGCTCATCTACATTCATGTAGGACAAGCAGAAAGTATATGAGATTTGATTTACTGGTAGTCTCGAAACCCTACCTGCAAACGAAAAATAAGCAGAAAGTAACTAATCATGTAATAGAATGCCTCAGTAGGATTGATAAGATATTAAAAGTTAGAATAGTTTCAGCTGGCCCCTATTCATAGTTTGGTGTTTTTTGGTGATTGTTCGTAAATGCTGATTTCTTGCTCTGACGATGTCTGTCACATGACGGACAGAGTCATCGAGATTTTCCTCACACAACCTAACAGTCGCAAGGACAAGGCAACTCTTCTTCGGTATCGTGTGAGGCCAATGTACGAATCCCTTGTACCTGCCTTTGCAAACGTAATGACGGGTATGCCAGCATAAAGGACATGTTTGCCTTGAATGAATGCAGTTGTTCATTAACCTTTTTTGCATCTCTGGCTGTTTCTACAATACTTACGATCCGGTTTCTCATCCGGTTGGAGGTTGTAATGAGACTAAGCTAAGTCGAAACAGAGTGAAATTAAAATAGTACACAAAGCGTATTTACCTATTTCGTTTAAACTAGTAGTTAAATTTTCCCACAATGTTATGATTAGACCTTATGTGTTCATTAAATTTCACATAGCCTTGCTTTCTCGGAAGCTATTCTCATCCAGACTGAACTGGATTGCAGTTTCGACCTTGCCTAGGTCTTATCAACAACCTCAGCAAATCTCGAATAATGAAAGTGCAGCATACAATCTCGACACGCCAGCTACTACGCTACATTGCCACGAGCAGCCTTGGGTCACAGGGCGGATGTGAACTTCAAGGAAGGCCAGGAATTTTTCCATATTAAATTCTGTGATGGAATTGTCGATGAAGCAAAATTTTATTTGTCATAGCACTCGACTACATCACTTGTTTTTCGTTTATAAGTAAGTTTTTAAGACCACTTGTAGATCTTTTTTTCGTTTTGAGTAAGTTTACGAGTTCTGATATCTCTGATATATATATAATTTTTATATATAAAGTGTATTGATAGCGTCGAAAACCTACTTATAAACGAAAAATAAGTAACTTAGTCAATTGCTATAGTTAATACAACTATGCCTCATCGACAATCCCACCAGAAAATGTGATATGGAAAAATGCCTGACATTTCTTGAAATTAACATCTTCCCTGTGGTCCAATTTGGCGTAGGGGTTAACATGTCAGGATTATACATTGCACCTTCATGGTTCAAGTCCCGCTAGGGGTGCTAATGAAGCCTAGGCGAAGTCGAAACCGCAGTCCACCCTGGATGAGAATAACTTTTGGGAAAGCAAGACTATGGGATCTTCAATAGAAACGTAAGATATACTCATGCTGTAGTGATAGAATTCAACCGCTTGTCCCCTTATCATCTTGAACGAAATAGAGTAAAGGCACTTTTTTTTAATAAAAAATGACCTTTTACTAATCTCGAAGGCCTACTTATAAATGAAAAATTCAATGATATCTTAAGGACTAGCCATCGAATTATGAGAGGACTCAACTATCAGCCCTTAAATGACCTAAAGTGATTTAGGGTGATCAACTTCTTAGTAAATGATTGTCAACGTGATAAATTTATTTTTGTTTTTTATCTTTTTTTAATGATAGTTAAGCCTTATCACTGAAGATTTTAAAAATTTCCTACGATCGGTTACCGTCATAAGTCTCTTCTTGCCTTGGTCTGATTCATTTTCTAATTTGCAATCTTATCCATTGTGCCTTAACCGCATTTATCAGCCCACTTGCGTCGAGTCAGTAATTGGAAAGCCCAGCGATGCCGATTCGGCCAGACCAAGCGATCTGCCCTCGAGCATAGCATCTTCAGTCGGAGCCGAGGCAGGCGGATCTGAGTCTCTGAGCGACAACAAAATAGGCTCATCCACAGACTGTGGATTTACCCATAGCGATAGACTCAGCTCGTCTGGCCGACAGGATTTGCCATCCGCTGGCCAGACCGACCCGACAGCCTCACGAGCCCCGTGGAGGCATCGTCTTCACCCACCGCCGGTGTTCGCCTCCACCTCCGCCTCTTCGGCCCAACCCGATTTGCCGCAGACTCGAGGACGCCAACGCACGATGCTGTCTGCCGAACCGGCCCGACGAGCTCCTCGGGTCGCCAGTCTGCCGCCTGGCAGCCTCATTGAGGATCGAGTCGGTCCGCTGGCTCTCGTTAAACCCTCCGGCATCGTCAACACCGTACCTCCGCCTCTCAGACCAGGCGTTCTGGTACAGACAGCGTCTTCTTCCTCCGATACCAGGTCGGGCCAGTCGGCTCGGGCCGTCACATCGACATCGGACAGGGCGGTGGGAAAGACCGGAAACACTCGTCCCTTCACCAACAGTGGCCAGACCTTTAGCTTGGCCTCGTGGCCAGCCGTTGCTGGCTTCGGAATGACCGATCACCTGCATGGCATGGCTAGTAAAACGGGCTGTCCTTATGTGGCCGGCAACGAGGCTTGTCGGCTGCATGAGCCGTCAGACCGGAAAGCCAGTCAAGTTGAACGTTGTGCAGTTGCCGAGACCGCTCGAGCCTCACAGGTGCATAGCAACCGTTTTACCATATATGTCCTTGAGATAATTTCAGAAAATCGTCTTTTTCTTTCATTAATTATAGGTGGGGGACCATTAATATACGAGACTAATATTCTCAAATAACGGCTGGTTCTAAAATAGCAATGAGAAAAAAATCTAACTTTTATGTGTAAAATGGATAGTCTATCAGACTATTCTTCTAACTAAACATCAAGAAAAAGATTAAATATAAAGTTATGTACCTTCCAAAATTATGCTTTTTATACCAAGCTATAAATGTAGTTATTCCACGACCAATTTTATAAAAAGCAAAAAATTCCTTTAAACTCTATACATAAAGTATGAAGACCAAGATTTTGTGGTCTCTATTTCGGTCGCGATCTCCTTTTGATGTATAGAATCGGTCTAACTCGTCTTCGCAACTTGGTCATGTTGTCAATGCGACCTAGGGGGACGCACTTTGTCCGAAGTCTTCTTCAATGATAGTTGTGATAATTCCTGGCGTCACACTATGGGATTGGTACATTCTCAGGCGTTTCTCCGGCATCGTATCCCCAGTGAGTCTTGCCACTCTCAGCACCAAGCTACTAATTGTCAAGGTGACAAGTGGAGGCACACATCTAGAGCAATCTAACATAACCAAGTTAGAATGACTAGCAAGTAAGGGGGATACGATGATAAGTTGTAGGTAATTGTAACACCACTGTTCAACAGAAAGTAGGTCAAGGGATTGACTTCATTTGTCTCATAGACGAGTTGTAGTTTGATGCTAGCAATGGCATGAATTATTGACGATGCCGACTACGACACTTGCGAAACGTCTGGGAGTGTTAACATTCCACCATATGAGATGTATTCACCCTATTTCGTTCAGAGTTATAAGGGGACTGGTGGTTGAATTTTCCCACAATTATATGAGTAGCCATGACTTTTCCACTGAATTTCACATAGTCCTGCTTTCGACTACCAGTCCCCTTATCATCCTAGACGAAATAAGATGAATACATCTCATATATATGAACTGTTGATAGTCTCGAAAGCCTAGTTACAAACAAAAACCACAAGTTTGACTGTATGACGCTGGAAATGAACATGACTTATATAGAAGAGGAATTCGGACAAGATACCTCTAACTGTCGCCCTGGCAACACGACCAAGTTGCTAAAACTAGGTCCGCACACCTCCTTAAATAGGTTTAGGATGTCTGACTATAATTAAAATCAAAGTATATTGGTTAATCGAAGGTATGAAGACCAATATATTGTGGCCTTTTGTGTGGTC